ATGATCTGGCCTTCTAAAGAGCAGTCAGGGTTGATCTCTCCTAGGACTGGCCGGTTTGATCGCTTTGCAGTCCAAGGGACTCGCAGAAGTCTTCTCCAGCACCATAGTTCAAAGGCCTCAATTCTTTGGCGCTCAGTCTTTCTTATGGTCCAACTTTCACAGCCATACATTGCAACTGGGAAAACCATGGCCTATCTTTACCTTGTGTTTTAATTGTCTCTTTCTTCCCTCTTCTGATCTCTTCTAGCCATTTCTTCATCCTTTTTCTGTAACTCATGCCTTTCTATCACCCACCTGTCATGATGTCTGTAACCATCTTGTTTTTTACTACATCCAGTACCAGGCATATAATGTAGCTCTTCATTCTGGTGGTTTACTTTGGAAATATTGATAGGATCCTTGCAGACATTGGCAACCATAATAGTCTGTTATACAGGGTTATATTCAGGTATGTGGTAAATAGAAGATATTTCTGAGGGCACATTCTTGCCAGGTTTTGGTGCTGCTTACATGTCAGTCCTTTTACACAGTAAAATATTTGATTTGAATTATTTTGTGAATTTAGTGAGGTTAACTATTCAATATTAAGTGGGGTGACTTAAAATAATTTAAAAAATCATTTTTTCATTATTTGCATAATTATTTATTTCTTAGGAGTAAAAATAATTGAAGACTTTTGCTCAGCTTCATATTTGTCAGTAAGTTTATTATATTTCTTTCCCTGATTGAAATTTATATATACCAAAATTTGAACTAAAAATAACACTTTTAGAAGGTGTATGACAAACTGCACAGCATATAAGGTGTGTATTTTATGAAAAATATATGCAAATTAAATGAGAAATTAAATCCTTTAAAATAAAAAAATGATCCAGAAAATAGGATAATATCTTTTTTGTCTGTATAAAGTATTATATGTCCTTTAAGAAAATGTTATGCCTGATTGGTGTGGATAGCATATCAGTCCATCATTGAAATTACAGTGGGACATAAGGGAGAATCTAGATTCTTTAGCTTGTTGGCATAAAACATAGCTCACCAAAAGTCATCACCTAGGATATATAAACACAAGAAAATAATTTCCTAGGCCTGGAAGCATAAATGTGGGATGCATAATACTTTCTTTCTTTAGATAGTGACTTCATGTATCTCACTGCCCCATTTGGATTTGATTAGCCTGTGAAGACAAAGGAAAATGCCTGTTCTAGTCTGAAATATGAATTGTTTCAACTGTAACAGGAGTAAGAATTGTCTCATTTGTTTCTTCCTATGCTAAAGAACAGATTAAATGTTTGACATTGCTTTAGCATTTTGTTTGGAGGGGCAAGGTTACTGGAGTCAGAGTACATATATATTTTGTTGTACTTGATGCACACAGATTTCCTGCTGTGCTGTTAATGACAAGTCTCTGTCTTTCTTTCTGCCACCCTCAGCTGTAGCAATAGCCAAGGCATGCAGATGCTCAGCTAAACTGAAAAACAAAAAAGCAAAAAAGTAAAGAACATGTTCTTCAACTTCATGGAAAAATATTTGCAAAAATTGAGTGAAATAAATAGAAAGTGTATGCTCCAGTAGGTATGAACAGTATGGCTTGATCAAGATTTTTCTGCTTTTGAAAACACCCTATTGCAGCTACTGTGCATTTCTAAGGCAATTTCATTTGGGAGCCACCTGAAAGGATATAAACTGAGTCCTCAAGTTTTAGAATGAGGCTTTGAGAAATATGTACTGTTTGCTAAGAAACAAAGAAGTCGTAGAATTTGAGGGCTAACAGGTCAACCTCTTATTAGATATGCTCAACACATCAGATCTACATATCTGTCCTCAGCACAGGTCAAGCACTAGGGCAGGGGTAGGCAACCTTGGCTCTTTTATGACTCGTGCCAGCATGGCTGGCTCAGGAATTCTGGGAGTTGAAGTCCACAAGTCATAAAAGAGCCAAGGTTGCCTACCCCTGCACTAGGGTGTTGCATGTGGGAATTGGACATACTGATTGCTAGCTCAACTGGGTCAGAAATAGTTGCATACAAAGATACAATCAAAGAGCTTGGCCTGCCTGCACTGGGAAGAGATGAAAAATCAAGATAGATGGATTAGCCTGGCTAATGACAGGTGTTGAGTTTAAATAAATCTCTCACTATCTCAGACTTTCCATGGGGTACTGCCACAATATTTAGGAATCCCAGGAATCTAATCCTTTCTCCTTTCAAGTCAGCAGTGTAAGCTAACCAGGTCTTATTAATTTCATAATGAATGACCAAGGCAGTGATGTCCATCCAAGAAAGCAAAATAAACGATCCATAGATTTCTTTGAAACTGAAATGTCTTCCATTGTAAAAAGACCATCACTTAGAGTTTACAGCAATATACACCTTATTTGCAACTAAAATTCTGAATGAAACGAGGGATGTTTCAAGGTATATAGTCCTAAGTATGGATACTATTGAAAGAATAAAATATACTATACTTTCAAGAATATATTATACATTTAAGAGAGATGACCACAAATAAAATATCTTCTGAATATATGTATACTGAATGTAGTTTACTTTTAAGCAGCATATATTAAAGACTATATGTATGATAACAAATGTGGATTTTCTTGCATTTTACTTATTTGTCTGAATCACAGAAAAATTAATAAAAAATAAGTCCATACCTGCTTGTATTTACTTTACATACCATTTACATTTACATTGTGCTAGTATGAATAAATATATGCCTACTTTAAACATTCACGATAGGGCCCCAGTCCAGATTAGTATTCTGTTACACTTTTGTTCCTTAGATGATAGAGATTAGTCTAAATAGTCGAAAAATGATCGACATTACTAAATATAGGGATGAACTGAATCAGACTAAGAAAGAAGTGTTGTAGGCTAATGTGAAGCATGATTTAGAATATAAAAAGGAAAGGAATATGAATATGAAGGTTGAGAGACATTCTGATGATGACATTCCCAAACACAATTATTTCTAAATATCCTTGCTTCTTGGTGTCTGTTTTGAACATACAATCTTTGGTAGACACTTAAAACATATTAGAGTGTGTCTAAAAATATAAATGAAGCAAGCCAGACTTTGCAAACACGTGGATCAGGCAACTTGTCAAGAAACTGTGAATTGCTCTTGAAGTGTGTTGAGTCAGAAATGTTTGTGTAGAATACATACAATAACACTACATGACCTGGCAATTAGTACACTTGGACTTTTGTAGAGTTGTATTGTATACAACATGGGATCAGGAACTTGAACTTGAAAATGTATTTGGCAGCGGATATCTGAAACCAGCCAAATACTGAATGTACCAAACAACAACAAAAAGATTCAAAAATGAATTTTAAAATTGCACAGGAGAATAAAACTGTCTCAGTTCTTCGGTGTGTTTAAATTAAAGCAGTTCTAATACATATGTTGTTTAAGATTTGGCCATAGCAAGAAAGTAATTTCAGGAAAGAAATGATTTCAGGTTGTTGTGTGTAATCTCTATAGTCTATCTTAATGTGTCATAAATTCCTGAAAGGGTTTTATGATAAATGAAATGAAAGAAGATTTTGTACAAAGGAATGTTTTGCAATTCTGAGCAAAGGATTGCTTCAACTTGGAACTGTTTGGAGAAATGCAAGGTATCTCTTAGATTGAGGGTTTTGTTTTGTTTTTGTTAAAAATTAAAAAATTACAGAAATAATACTTTGTTTTTAAAAAGATACATTAGTTCAACTTTTTTCTTTTTAAAATATTTGCCAATGCTGTATCATAGTAGACTGGAACAAATTCCTGCCTTTGGGTATATTATTTTGATATAAGATAAACTAGTAATATATATATCATTTTTACAATATAATTCTCATTCTAGTTTCTTCTCCAAAGTTTGTCGATTTTTTTCTGCGGAAGCTATCTTGGAACATCATACTTAATAATGATATTTGTTTAAATCATCCACTCCCATTGTTTTATCTCCATCTAGATATATTCTGGAATAGTTTAGATTTGCAAACATTGGTATAGATCGCTTCCCCTAAAATGCCCATAGCACCTTGGGCAAAGATTATTATTATTATTTTGAGATGAGAAAAAAACCCTTGCTTCCATTCCATAGCAGCAAGAACAGATATAAACAGGTCCTTATGTTGGTCCCATCCTAAGCATTTTGCACTGAATGAAAATTGAAGAAGGATGTGATGGTATGTAAATAAGCCTAATGAGGAAAATGTAGCAGTGGAACTCATGGTATGTTTTTGCATTGATTTAGAAAAAGAATTTGTGACTCAACGTCCCCCTTGTTGGTTGGATTGTAGAAATTATGGAGAAAAGAGAATTGTCAGTCCACAGCTATTTATAGCTGTTTATATAATCTCAATTTTCAATTGTAGTAAGCCAATGCCATTTCTTTCTTTTTTTAAATCAACGGATAGCACACTTACTTGGCTACATAAAAGTGTAATTGACTGGGACAATGACATTTTGTCCAGCTTGACAGTCTAAATGGATCTACCGGATGCCACTGTATTTACAGCTACTGTAAATACCTTGGTATTGAAATGATATTCACCAATGCCAGTCTAGTTAGACTCAGCCAAAACAAAATAGCCCTAAAGCAGCATTTTTCCCAATGAAAACGTTTGCCATGCATGTGCTTCCAACAGCTGTTTTTGTTTTAGTTTTCATTTCAAATACATTCAGCTAAATGCAGAGATAGCTTCATCAAAGGTCACCAGAAATTTTCCAATTTCCCCCTTAAAAAGATCATTATCATGTTCTGAGTAATGGTATGTTTTATTACTTTCATATTTTACATTTCTGGAGTTTTGTGGACTGCCAAAAGGCAATCTATAAATAAATAAATAAGGCTTTGCATGTTTTTCATTTACTGCTTTTTAAAAAAATTATCCAGGTATCCTATATTAACATTTTGTTCTCTCTCTCTCTCTTCCCCCCCCTCCTCTCTCTCCCCCCTCTCTCCCTCTTTCTTCCTCTCCCTCTCTCCCCCCTTTTTACAGAATTGCTACCAGCATCATACATATATATTGAAAACATTACAACTTTTTTTAGCCACTGCCTTTCTGTAAATCCAAATCTATGCATATTGTCAGGCCTTCATTTTCTCTGTTTTATTTCTTTATTTAAAATTTTATGTGCTACCATTACCATATTGTGAATCTATGGCTTACGATATCTAAATCTGAATTTAAAAATAAATGTAAAAATGAAAACTATTTTTTTAAAAAACACAGCTTCATAAAAGTTACATTACATTAAAATTATACATAAAATATACATTTAACCCTTAAAAGGTACATTTAACCCCTTTCCATATTAATTAAGAAGTCTAGCCACAGCATCGTAGCAATATTAGAATAGAGTAGAGTAGAGTAGAGCTGAGCTGGAAGGGACCTTGAAGGTCTTCTAGTCCAGCCCAGCCCCCTTCTTGAGCAGGGGAACATATACCATTTCAGACAAGTGACTGTCTGGTCTCTTCTTAAAAATCTCCAGTGATGGAGCACCCACAATTTATGAAGGCAAACTGTTCCACTGGTTAATTGTCCTCACTATTAGGAACTTTCTCCTTAATTCCAGGTTGCTTCTCTCTTTGGTCAGTTTCCAACCATTGTTTCTTGTCTCTGGTGCTTAGGACAATAATTTGACTCCCTCTTCTTGGTGGTGGTCCCTCAATTATTGGAATACAGCTATCATGTCGCCCCTGTTTCTTGTTTTCTTTAGACTAGCCAAACCCAAATCCTGCAGACGTTCTTCATATGTTTTAGTCTCCAGGCCTTTAATCATTTTAGTTGCTCTTCTCTGAACTTTTTTCCAAGGTCTCAACATCTTTTTTGTAGTATGATGACCAAAGTTAGTTGCAGTATTCCAGGTGTGATCTTACTAGGGTTTTATAAAGTGATACTAATACTTGGCATGAACTTGATTCTATGCCTTGTTAATACAACCCAGGATTGTATTAGATTTTTTGGCTGCTGCTGCACACTGCTGGCTCATAGTCAAGTGATCATCCACTGGGACTCCAAGGTCCCTCTCACAGTTGCTGTTTTTGAGCCAGGTCTCACCTAATCTGTATTTAAACCGTTGATTTTTCCTGTCTAAATGTAAAACTTTGTTTTTTTCACAATTAAAAATCATTTTGTTGGCTAGGGCCCATTGTTCAAATCTTTTTGGATCTTGAGCTTGTCTTCTGGAGTGTTGGCTATTCCTGCCAGTTTGGTATCATCTGAAAATTTGATGATCTCCCCTTCTATTCCCTCATCTAAGTCATTTATGAAGATATTGAAGAGTACTGGGCCTAAGACGGAGCCTTGTGATACCCCACTGCTTACTTTTCTCCATTTGGATGTAGTACCATTGAGGACTATTTGCTGAGTACAGTTTGTCAGCCAGCTACAGATCCATCTGATGATGTTGTTGTCTATCCCACCTTTTTCTAGCTTACTAAGCAACAGGTTGTGGTCTAATTTGTCAAATGCCTTATTGAAATCTAAGTATACTACGTCCACAGTGTTTCGTTGATCTACTAATTGAGTCACTTTATCAAAGAATGAAATAAGATTGGTTTGGTATGATCTATTTTTAACAAACCCATGCTGGCTACTAGTTATAACTTTGTTTGCTTCTAGTTGTTCACAGATCTGTTTTTTGATTATCTTTTCCATGATCTTTCCAGGTATTAAGTTTAGACTGATTGGTCTGTAGTTTCCTGGGTCTGTTTTTTTCCCCTTTCTTGAAGATGGGAACCACATCAGCCCTTTTCCAATCATCATGTACTTTCCCAGTGCTCCAGGATTTTTGAAAGATATGGTACAATGGTTCTGAGATAACATCTACCAGCTCCTTCAGAACTCTGGGATATAATCTGTTGGGCCCCAGTGATTTATTCATCAAGATCTATATAAGGATAGATTGAGAGAAGGAATTGTTTTTCCATATCCCCTACAAGGATAACTTGAGAAAATATTATTTTCAATTTATGTAGGTTTTCCACAGGATTTAGTACCATTTTAATAGTCTTTGCATCATGCAGCAAGTCTAAGGGAGTTGAAGTAAATTCCTATTTCAGGATTAACCTTTTCTAATTCATGTAGGATGACCAGAATAGCAGCAAGAATTTCAGTAGGGCTGTGATAAATTTCAATAATTTCTGTAAGATTTAGTTTTGAATTAATATGTTCAGCTGTCATGGTTCCGATAGATGAAACCCATCAAACCCAGTGTTCCTTAAAAAACATTTTATTCAGGAAACAAAGTATCAGCACTACATAGTTGAACCTCAAAACTAAATTCCTTTCCCCCAGATACAAATTTTTTCAAAATGATTAGAAACTGAGGATAGCAAACACAGTGTCCTTTAAAAGGCTCTGCTACCATTAGAATGTGATGGCTTCTCTTCATGTCCTGACACACAAACCCATGGGAAATTGCTATTCTGTCATCTTGTGAGGAGCAGTCATCTGGAACCAAGTAGGTGATTTCCTGTCCCTTATCTGGAAAGATTCTGTGGGATCAGTCTACTCACTGGTCCTTCAGGCCTACCAGTGGCATCTCATTAGGAGACTTGCTAGTTTGCCATTCCTCACCTGGAAGTTAGCATTGTTCTTATCAGTTCTCCCTGTTTCCATGAAAATGGAAAAATATAGCTGCTATTCTGAAATATATAAGTATGAATTTATAGGAAAACATATTTTCAGATATTTTTTATAATATAGCAGGGCAACTTTTTTGAACGTACTTAGCTCCATACTAAAAAGCAGCATACTAAACAGCATACTAAAAAGCAGAGACATCACCCTGCCAACAAAAGTATGTATAGTCAAGGCCATGGTTTTCCCAGTTGCAATGTATGACTGTGAAAATTGGACCTTAAGAAAGGCTGAGCGCAAAAGAATTGAGGCCTTTGAACTATGGTGCTGGAGAAGACTCCTGTGAGTCCCTTGGACTGCAAGGCGATCAAACCGGTCAGTCCTAGAGGAGATCAACCCTGACTGTTCTTTATAAGGCCAGATCCTGAAGTTGAAACTCAAATACTTTGGCCACCTAATGAGAAGGAAGAACTCACTGGAGAAAAGCCTAATGCTGGGAAAGATTGAGGGCAATAGAAGAAAGGAATGACAGAGAATGAGGTGGCTGGATGGAGTCACTGAAGCAGTAGGCATGAGCTTAAATGGACTCCAGAAGATGGTAGAGGACAGAAAGGCCTGGAGGAACGTTGCCGATGGGGTCGCGATGGGTCAGACACGACTTCGCAACTAACAAGCTCCATTTCCATGTAAATTTATCACGTCATGTAGGGATTGTACAGCTTGCTTAAGATTTTGTGAAGTTTTCAAAACCAAACCCCTATCAAGCAGTGCTGCAACTTGTCACAGTTTATTTTACAGATGAAACCAATCAACTGCTCTATTGTCTGAGATCAACTAGAAATAATTAAAAGAATTTGATCTTTGCAGCTTCCAATATGTCTCAATTTATACCTCACAGACTGTGGATCAAAATGTGGGTGTTCTTTGACTGTTGTGCAATTTCTCTCACAATACTAAGATCAAATAAATAAACAGGATTCTCCTGAAATTATAATAATCTTGTTGATTTCATTAAATTAGATTAGATCTCCCCCCATATGTGTTTGTGTTGGCAGATTTATTAGCTAATAATCTACTTTTGCAATATTGTCTTGTTTCCTAATTAAGCAATTGGAGCATTACTTTTTCTTAAAATACAGTCTGCAAGTCTTTCGGTTCATTCAATGATTATTCCAAAAGAAAAATACTTTTTCCTTAATGTAATGGATTGGAATCAAGCCAGGCACTGCATGAATTAACCTCCAAAATTTCATAGAAAACGACCAATGAAGGAATGATTTATGGACAGATGAATAATGCCAAGATCCTTTAGCTATTTACAGTGAAATAAAATAGACGTGTTGTCTTTAACAAAAACGAGGGCAAATAGAGCTTGGAACAAAATAGACTTAATAACTCTAATGAGCACTGAGTGTACAGGCAGTTCTCCCCCTAATTTGCTACTATCTATTTCTTTTCAACCTCTGTCTTGCTTTTCAGCATCCAGCCTGGCTAAATTAATTGTAGGACTTCTATAAAAAATTGAGAAGCTTAAAAAAAAATATTCTGGAAAATGGCAGGATATTTTAGATGGAGAGGTTTACAAAGTGGTTTCTTGGATATAGGCAATTATGTATTTGTGGGGACTGTAATGCCGTACAGCATAGTTCTGCTTATCCCTTGTGTGGGAATGACCTTGGGAGACACTGTAAAGAGATGCAGTCAAGGAGACAGTCAGATAAAGACAATTTAACCCAAAGCAGAAATGTGAGTGGGGCAAGAAGCTCAGACAAGAGTTCCCCCTCAGTTTCTTGAGCTATAAGGGTGATGGGGGAAAGAGCTGTACTTTTAAACTTGCAAGATTGTGTTAATGTAACCTTACAGTAAAGTAGAATTAACAATCTGACTGTATTTCTGTCCTATTTATCTCACAAGTCTGATACCTACAGTATATAAGCTATAGTTTAGTTTTATTTTTTTATGGAAAATTATCCTAATGCTCTTCAAGGTCACATTGAATATTTAGTGCCATGTGTAAATAAAAGTATTCTGCATTCCACTGGCATTTTTAACAAGGATGGTTCTTTCAGATTAAGAAGTCTATTAAAGGAATTTCTGTTAGGACATATATAGCAGAGGTCCCCAACCTTTTGGGCACCAGGGACTGGATCTGTGGAGAGAGGTTTTTCCGTGGACCAGAGGGTGTGTGGTTTTGTGTGCTGCCTGCATTTTGTGGATGGGGCTTTGCTTGTTTGTGTGGACCAGTCACTGGCCTGCCATTGCCCGGTACTGGTCCATGGACTGGGGATTGGGACCCCTGATATATAGCACTCACTCCTACAGCCAAAGAAGCAATGCTAAATTTTTCATATTTGTTATATTGAACTTCTCATTTTATTTAAATTTGTTTTGGCCAATTGCCAGATGGGGTGGGACAGGAATAGATGGAGAAAGCAAATTAAATCTATCTGAATCAGATCTGATTCTAATAATTGATTCCATTAGGAAAATTGAATTAAATCCTTTTGGATAACATTGTTTCAGACAGCCATATCAAAACCAGTTCTCTGAATGTTCCATATATAATCTCCCTTCAACTCTGAAATGCAAAAATGTTGAAACACAAAAAGAGATGTAAAAAGAGATCAAGCTAGACTGTAAAATAACATGTCTACTTATCAATCTGTAATTCCTGAGAAGAGTCTTGCAAGATATGGACTTTCATATTTCAGCAAATGTTTACATTTACTATTCTGTGAAATGATGTTGTAATATTATCACACATAACCCAGGGCATCAGTGAACTAAAGCCAGATGACTTGAGGCCCCAAAGGGG